TTGGCTGTGGGAAGGTCTGCGCAAATTGCGCCGGGTGTTGTTCGACGAATGGAGGCTGTGAATACACCGGAACTGGAACAAATTGCGGCTGGGGAACATTCAGGACAGGCTGCACAGGAGCCACGGAATTCTGCGGCTGAGGAATCACTGTCTCCGTGTACGAGCGGGAATATCCACCGCGATTATTCCCATAATTTCCCCTGCCTCCCCGGTTCGAATAATAATTTCCTCTTTGAGACGAGCCACCACGGCCGCCTCGATTTTCGTAATTCGAATTATTATAAATGTTATTACCGGCACTTCTCGGTTCTGAAGGAGCACTTTTCTGTGTTGATTCGGGTGCCTTTTTATCCTTATTCATACGCTTCCATAGCTTCTCGCACTCTTGTAGTTTCTTTTCAAATTCGGTGTAATTTTTAGGCGCTGCGTTATATATTTCGCGGAACCATGCCGGTCTGTGCTCCTGAACGCCCTCTAGGAGTGCTTCAACTTGTTCCTCATCGGATACTTTTAATTCTTCGAACCATGGGAGGAAGCTATCAAGGTAAGCACGAACTGGTTCACAGAACTCCAATTTGCGGTTATTCATTTTTCGACGAATATCGGCTTTAGACAAAGAGCCGTTAAAGTGCTCTACAATAGCCGGCTTGAAGAAATCTGACCACAATTTGCCTTTATTGTCCTTCCAGAATTTTTCAAACCATTGAAAAGACGGACCGGTGAATGCACCGATTACTCTGCGACACGTTGTTTCATCATTCCAATTATTTGTGGCTCTGCATTGTTCAACATTCATGAGCCATCTTTGAATTTTTTCTGGATGAGCATCGTCAAAGGCAAGTAACTTCATGCCTCCCACCGTTTTATCGCTGTCCTTTTCCGCAAATTTCGCTAAAAGTTCAACCACGCTTTCCTGTGTAAGCGTCGTTCTATCCGAGATTTGGGTCTGCTTAATCAGCCATTCCTCCAGCTGAGGATTTCTAGAAGCCGACTCGTTACTGGCTGTGCTGCTAGGGCGACGGTGTTCATCCTCCAACAGGGCATCATCCATCAATTCATTTTCTGTGTCGGAACTATCCCTGTTTTTTGTTCCGCGCGTCTGGCGACTAGCGTCGTCAGATATTCTTTTAAATACCTCTTGGCGTAAATCTGTTGGTTTATTTTTCTTTTGCCTAGGTGGCACCGTTTCCCTGGGAATCTGGCTCTCTGAAGATGAACGCGGCATGGCCTGAGCCTCCGAGAATTCGACTCGTGATTCCTGTCTAGGCCTCCGCAAGATACCAGCTGGATTACTGCCAGTAGCTACAGGCTGATCCACGTATGACGAAAAATTTTGGGTATTAAATGGTGTAAAAGCGGGAGGACGTAATACGTCTCCTGTTGCTACCGGCGCTTCCCTTTGAAAGTATCCCTCACCACCGCCAAGAGCAGCATCTGTATTTCGAAGCTGACGAAGTTCGTCATACGCTTGCTTTAAGTCCACTTCCATCTTGGTAAGTTGATCTTGTTTTTCATGCCATTCCTTTCGGCATTGCGCATTTTCTTCATACAGTCGATTACACCTTTCAGACTTTTCATATGCGTCAGCTTGTGCTGTATTTTTCGCTTGAATCGCGTTCTCACAATTATTACATCTTTTATCCTTTTTCGAATCTTTTAATTCCTTTTGGGCCTTTTGAACATTCTCTCGCTCTGTGTTCAACAAACCCTGTAACCTTTCAATTTCTTTTTGTGACAAATCATCCTTTTCCTTAGGAATATGCATCGGGCCGACCGAAGACTTGTTATTCAGCTGCACTCTCGCTTGTGTGAGATCCCGTTGAAGGGACTCTTCAGCGTCTTCAGCTCGCTTCTTTTCGGCTTCCAAGTCTTTGGTAAGTTTTTGGGATACATTCTGCGCATCAGTCAGTTTTTTATTTGTGACTTGGTGCGCATCTTTTTCGGCACTCAAATCTCTCAGTGCTTTATTCAATTTTTGGTCTAAATCCACAATCTGTTTTGCCGTATCCGGTGTTGGATGAGCACTAAGGCCATCAATCGTAGCTTTCGCATTTGAAAGATCTCTCTGAGCATTTTCCAACTGTTTTTCCAAATTACGATTCGTGTCTGTTAAAGTATCGCGCTCATCTTTCATTGCATTAAATGCGGCCTCCGCATTTCTGTTGGCTTGTCTTAGACTGTGCAAATTGTCATTCGCAATGCGTATTTCGTTGGCCAATCTGTCATTTTCTATTTGTTCATTTTCGAATTTGACACGCATCTCATTGAAATCGTTTTGAAATTTCAATTTTTCGTTTCTTTCCGCATCTACACGAGCGTCTAAAGACATTGTATTACCCATTTCATCTACTTTTGTTTTCGTAGATGCAATGAGTGTGCGGAGACTTTGGATCAATACAGGCATAGTTTGCCGAACTATCAAGCCCACATCCTGGTCAGTTTCTGCCGCAGCTAACTGCTCATCGACTTCCCTAGCTTGAGTAAGGAAGTCCTCATCTGGTTGCTCAAAATCTTTTTCTGACACAAAACTGTGTAATTTTAACTGTGCCGGGTGGAATGTCATTGTTCCACCACGAATGCTTTTACTTGCTCTTGTTTCAGATCCTTCGGAGATATCCGCCTTGTCCGCAGCCGCCAACGCTATCAAATTATTGTCCGACTGGGACGACTGGGGTTCTGTCTGGCTCTCAGCCACGCTTGGAGTTTCCGATATGGGTTCATCCAATATCGCACCGGATGCCTGGGCTGGAATTCTCTCCTTGGCACCGCGCGTGACGCGCTCATTTACTGCCTGTTTTTTGGAGTTTTTCCGGTTGCTTTTGCTGCTAAATGGGCTGCTTGCGCTGCTTGCCTGCGCTTCCCAAATCTTCCATATAACCTGCCTTCCAATTATATGCCTCATTGACTGCCTTTTCAAACTGTTCATCTGTGATATCCAGGTAAGCTTCTGGAATACACTCTTCATGATCTACCCACGTCTTATAATATTTGGGTTGCTTTATTTTTGAATTTAAAAATCGTCTGATTTCCTGATATTCAACCCACTCCTTTCCACAGAATGCTTCTAGAGCTTCTGGTGGTTCAACATTCAGGGCTAAATACATTAGTCCCAACGGTATTTCTTTAGTTTTGAACCGGAATCTGGTCTGGGTATGAGCTCCTTCGTATGCACCAATTATTACCCTTTCTTCCGGTACCTTACGCGGTGGTGGACGAGTCTTTACGACTGTGTCACCTGACATCTTACTTTTTGTTTTGAATTAACCTTTGCGGTTAATTAAAATACCAAAACAGCAGCGATTGTGCTACTGATTTCTGACGAGTATCGTTATTGCGATTGTGCAATAATTCCCAAAAACTCACAAGCAATCCTCCTTTTAGGTTTGAATTGTTCAGTGGGTTTAGACACAGCCGACCTTTGCGGTTCGACTGTAACAAATTCCTAAAATTACGCTGCTGCACTTTGCGTGCTGTCGTAATTTTAAGATTCACAGGTCAATCACCGTTTGCCGGTGTTTACCTTGTTCACGGTCAACTCTCTAGCTGCTGATTTTGGCTACCGCTTGCGGCTTGCCTTTATCAGTCTTGCTGGAGATCGTTATCTCACCTGGCCACTGACAATGGCTCGGTGCTTACTATCTGCTCTATCTGCAGGCCAGGTACACTGACACTGCAGATTACGCTTTATTCGCCGCGGTTACTGCTTTGCGCAGACAACCCGGAAATTACCCACAGACACCAATTAATTACACAGCCGACCTTTAAGGTTTCGACTGTTTAATCCTACGGTCCAACTTAATTAAATTTAATTTAATTGGCGAGGAAGCTCACCAGTGAGGAAGCTCACAATTGCGAGGAAGCTCGCTAAAAATAAATTAACTAGGCCAGATCAGGAACGCTGACCTCCTTCGGCGTACCTTTGCGGTTCGACGCCTTTCAAAACGGACCACTTTTACCAATAAATTACCATCAAACTTTTCCACCATCAATTTTCTGCTACATCGGGAAAATTAAAAGACACCGGTGGGCGCCATGTCGTGTATAAGCGTTCACGCCGATTAAGGCTCCATGAACAATCTTTACTCTTCCACGCCTGTAATGCTCAATCGGTAGGCACTCGTACTCTCAAACTGTAACAGAAGAACTATGGTGGAAATAAGACGAACGAATCAGGAACACGAGTCAGGAATCCCTAAACGATAGTCCAACTACAATCTCCGGTCGTAAGTCCTGTGAGGATCGGCAAGAGCTAGGACGATTGTGTCACGAGCAAACCTGTATACTAAGCGATAATCCGGGAACGACTATGCACTTCCGTAGGAACAAGTATTGCTGCCTCTTTATCCAATTCACATCACAGTTCACAACGCTAGGAAATCGTAAATAGAAAGCAGTCTCAGAAGTAAATCTCAGACTACTGATCCCGATATTAGAAGTAACAAGAACTTATATAGACTTCGCGTTATGACATCATATACATCGCTAGTAAAAGAGAACAGCAAATCACAGAAGAGATTGACTAGATTATCCGTTGTGTTGCAGGTGGAAGGCGGACAGTCAGCATCCAGTACGTACTCCGGCGTGTGATCCTATTCCCACACGTCACGGTTTTATCAACGCAGAACACGTCAAAATTTTTCAAGAGGCGTGCGTCGTGTCAAAGTGGTTAGTGATTATGCAGTTTGTCTGGGTAGAAAGCCTGGAATCGTTCCGGATATTGCGCCGTAATCGAGACAGACTATATTCCATTGGCAGTTGTCGTCGTCTGGCGGGCATTAAGGACTGACACAGGCCTAGGCCTGGAAATGACGGCTTCCAGCATAATTCTAGAAAACAAAGTATTTTCACCGCATCTGATTCCTCGTCGATTGCTTATTTAAAGGCGAGAACAGTAGGGAATCACAACATGCATATCTTCCATTTTTCTTCAACTTACCCTTCAACTTCAGCATACCTCACCACGTTCAATATGTCGAAGGTTTCGCTGGTACTGCTGTTGGCCGTCGCCTACGTTGCCGCTATGGACGGGGACGAAGAATCCAACAAAATTGCCAACGTATGCTTAACCTCAGTGCTCCAACAGCAACCGCATGTATGACCTTTTATTGTTTGTTAAAGGACGCATGGACAGCGAGCATCGTAGACGGTAAGCCGATCGCTTCCTACTGCGGTGGCCGGTTTATGTCGGCAACTTTGACGGTCGTAAGTTATGGAAAGTGGTCTTCGGAGATGGACATCATCACATACGACATGAAGGTAAACTATCACGTCTTCGTGTTTCAGAATAGTATTAGCTTCTGATGAATATTAAGAATATTGTCGCTTATTATCGACATTATTCTGTCGTCTTAAACAGTTCTGGATCTAATACAAAACCTTTCTTGAGTAACGCTACGTTATATACGGATGGTAGCAAAAAATAACTTATCTCATAATACTTGTATTAGTTATTTCTGGTTCTTCTATGTGGCACTGTACGACGTATGTAGTGCGAAGTGTTTGCACGTATGGATAGCAGGAAACCTCATCTACGTATTTAAAGTGTAAATGTGGTTTTTTATATCTGTATTCCCTCAGAAGTATATTGACTTTCTGCGATTATCAGGTGGACATTGACCTGCCCCAATCCGGCTCTAGCCCGGCCTTCTCCAGGAAAAACCAAGTCTTCGAGGTGACTAAAGGACCCGGAGAGGAGCTCAAAATTGGAAAGAATCCATGCCGCAGTGATCTATCATAAGTCACAATTCTGCCGGCTTGAGCAGATGGTGCTTCGCAATCGCGTAACGCTTCGCTGAAATAACAGGGAATCCTGCTGTCTCGATGCTGTCACGCTTTTTCTTGCCGGACGAAACGGGTTGTGTCGTAATATCGCTGACAATTACAGTGGCAAAAATATTTGGCAATAGCGGGAATGATGCTTATAAAGGTGTGTGGGTCGGCTAAAGTAAATAAAAATTTAAAAGCACAAAGCGTGGAAGATTCAATTTTCAAGACCGTATGCTGAATCAAAGCTGTTTATATTTTTGCAATTATTGTTGGCCAGCTTGCATGGCCACACCCACTTCCCGATATTATTCCAAATGATCAAAAGAATAAATGGAAGATTTAAATATTCGTTGTATTGTACACCATACTAATCGTAGCAGAATAACACAAAATATTTTTACATGCACGTACACTATAGTACATTGTACACTGGTAGTACAGAATCAAACAAAATTCTTAAATCTAATTTCGCCTTGTTGGATTATACTTTCTGTGCTGGCGTCTAGGGTAGATATTCTCGTGTAGCGCTATTACTGCACAGTTATATAAAACTGCTGCTAATAACACCTGCCCGCAGTTTTTCATTACGGATAAGTTTGTACATGCCTGGTAACAAGTTTTTTGCCAGCATCACTGCATGTAAGCGTCTTTATTATTTTTAATTCTGCTGACCGTATAAGTCTACTATATTTGCGAAAAATTACCAAACAAAAAAATCCCCCGTGCCGGCCGCGCTAGGCGTCGGCTCCTTTGACTTAGAAAAGCGGACGTCTAGCGCGGTTAATCGAGGGAGGTTCTTTGTTTGTTAATTTCGCGTAAATACAGTAATAGTGCCTGGAACGGTTCCGGATTTTGCGCCTACTCGGTACAGACTATATACCTTCGGCAGTTACCGCCGTTTGACGGCCATTAAAACTTTAAACATCCCTGAAAATGATGGCTTCCGGCGTAAAGATATATTTCGAATAACAGTAACAAGCAACGTACGCAAGTTCTTACCGCACCTGCTTCCTAGTCGATTACTTAACAAAGCCGGATACAACCAACAAAAAACATTCAAATCCACTCCCTTCTATTTTACTTCAAGCTACATCTACGAGTACTACATCATCACGCTGAAAATGTTGAAGATGTCGTTGGTACTGCTGTTGGTTGTCACGTCCGTCGCCGCTAGTTTTAGAAAGGGCGATGCGGAATCCACTAAAATTGCCAACGTACTGTATGTGCTCTTCAACAACAGCCGCATGATTGACCTTTATTGTTTTTTTTAAAGAACGCATGGACGACGAGCAACGTTGACGGGTTTCCGATCGCTGCCTATTGCGGTAGCTGGTATAGGCCGGCCACGTTGACAGTCCGCAAGTACGAAGCGCGGGCTACGACGCCCAACAGCACCAAATATTTCATGAAGGCAAGCCATTCTGTCTTCCTGTTGCAGTACAGATATATTTGCTGAAGTTTATTGTCGCACATTATCAACAAGCTTGACAGACGCTTGCATAGGAATATCTAAGAACTATAACAAATAAATAACGTACCTCAGATCATTAAACAGTGCTGTTTCGTCTACCTATCGATCACTTGCAGTACTTGTACAATCACAGGTACGTAGTGCAAAAATCCATGCGTACGGATAGAAAAAACTTATATATACGGAGTACGTATTCGAGTGTACAATAAATGGGGGTTTTTATAACATCTGTATTGCAGCAATCAATAACGGTCTTCTTTGATTGCCAGGTGGACATCAGCGTGCCCAAATTCGGTTCCATCGAGGCTTTCACCATGGAAAACCAAGTCTTTGTGGTGACCAAAGGACCCGGAGGGGAACTCACCATTGGAGAGAATCCATGCCGTGATGATTTACCTCAATAACAGTTTTGCCGGCGTAGCTTGAGCAGACAATACTTTGGATAACGATTCGCTTGTACAATAATTAAGCTAAACCTTTCACGCTTCGTCTGGCAGTTTCTTGCCGCACGAACCGGTTTATTTAGAGTGAATAACGCTCGCAAAATTAATGACGAATAAGCTGGCTAAAAATATTTAAGTATAGCAAAAAATGATGCGTAATGATACAAATATATATGGTGGTGCGAACAGTTAATAGCAAACACAGGCTGAAATAGCTATAGGTAAAAGCCTATAGCTATTTCAGGTAATGCTTTCCACACCGACTAATAGGGAAAAACGTTAGTGACAGTTTTGTAATTGTTTTCGGTAGATCGCATGGCGGTACTAACCAGGTAAGACTAACTTCCGATATCTCAATAATTGCATTATATGAGCAAGCGTAAGGTTTAATTTTCGTATTGCTGTATATATATATAGTTATATACCTATAAATAAGATCCACTGCCTTTGCAATTACGCTGTTACATAGTAACTTAGTAGACACTAGACATACAAATACTACAAGTAGTAAGCACAGTATAACATGTAGACTGTAGAGTAAATGCACATACATATGCAACCCATTTAGAAGCGTTCGCAACTGTTGCTTATTGGCGGCAACACCACAGAAAATTATAGAAACAGTAATTTTATCCAGCTGAAGGTATGGAAGTGTATGGCGAGGTACAGTATATACTGTAGCCCGAACTGTAGCATTGTGTGACCTTAGCTTGTTCGTTGTACCGTTACGACAGCATCAACAGGGCGACTCTGCATCCCAAACTAACTGTTACAGTGAAACTCGAGTGGGAGATATAGCCTGCAAGCTCTGGAATCCCTGTCTGGAACCCTAAAGAATCCAGTGGTAAATCCGATCGTCGTAAAAGAGAAGAATCAGAAGTCCCATATGGCGTGTCTCCAGAAGGAAGCAGAGACCATCGAGCAAGGTTTAACGTGAGCACTGCTCCAGATGATGAGATCCTTGATAACGAGAATGGGTGTGAACCGCCGATATTCGTGTATCACCTTTCTGTAGTCCGAGAACAACTATAGATAGAAGTACAAATAACAGCGATGTATAGGAAAACCTATGAGATACAGAGTACACGACGAATTTGGGAAATCTCAACGTTCATTTCACTAACTCCTTCCGCTGGCCTTTGTGTAAAGATTTTGGGGTTGACGTGGGGAGGAGGATACACCCACATCGTACGTACAATTCCCTAATGATGTCCGCCTTTATCAGTGAATAAACCTACCTCCATGTTATTATCTAGTCATCTTGTTACCTGTGATTGGCTGTACCTAAATTCCTAGCGATGTATATGATGTCAGAACTGCTACGGGTAGTCTATATAAGCTTGAGTGATGCCTAATATCGGCAGTGGTCAGGAATTAGTCTTCTGATTTCTGATATTCTTACTTTTCTCACTTTCAGGCCAAGGTCAAAAAGAGGATGGAATAATTAAAGGAAGGAAATTTTTTTGGTCAAAAAGAGGAAGGAATGAATAAAGGAAGGAAATTTCATGGTCAAAAGAGGAAGGAATATTTAAATGAAGAAATGTTTTTTTGACCAAAAAGGAAAGAAATTTCGATGGTCAAAAACAAAAAACATTTTTTTTGCCTTTAATGCGCTAAGAAAATTTTTAAAAGTTTGGGGAATTAAGCAAATACGCGCTGCTTTCCGTTTGATAAAGTAATGCAGAATAAGCGTTACAGCCAAACCTATTAAGTTTGCGATAAGAGTTCGAACGGCGCAAACTGTTCTTACAGAATGTTTTAGAGGTCTGACGTTTAAAGTATCGCGCTCATCTTTCATTGCATTAAATGCGGCCTCCGCATTTCTGTTGGCTTGTCTTAGACTGTGCAAATTGTCATTCGCAATGCGTATTTCGTTGGCCAATCTGTCATTTTCTATTTGTTCATTTTCGAATTTGACACGCATCTCATTGAAATCGTTTTGAAATTTCAATTTTTCGTTTCTTTCCGCATCTACACGAGCGTCTAAAGACATTGTATTACCCATTTCATCTACTTTTGTTTTCGTAGATGCAATGAGTGTGCGGAGACTTTGGATCAATACAGGCATAGTTTGCCGAACTATCAAGCCCACATCCTGGTCAGTTTCTGCCGCAGCTAACTGCTCATCGACTTCCCTAGCTTGAGTAAGGAAGTCCTCATCTGGTTGCTCAAAATCTTTTCTGACACAAAACTGTGTAATTTTAACTGTGCCGGGTGGAATGTCATTGTTCCACCACGAATGCTTTTACTTGCTCTTGTTTCAGATCCTTCGGAGATATCCGCCTTGTCCGCAGCCGCCAACGCTATCAAATTATTGTCCGACTGGGACGACTGGGGTTCTGTCTGGCTCTCAGCCACGCTTGGAGTTTCCGATATGGGTTCATCCAATATCGCACCGGATGCCTGGGCTGGAATTCTCTCCTTGGCACCGCGCGTGACGCGCTCATTTACTGCCTGTTTTTTTGGAGTTTTTCCGGTTGCTTTTGCTGCTAAATGGGCTGCTTGCGCTGCTTGCCTGCGCTTCCCCAAATCTTCCATATAACCTGCCTTCCAATTATATGCCTCATTGACTGCCTTTTCAAACTGTTCATCTGTGATATCCAGGTAAGCTTCTGGAATACACTCTTCATGATCTACCCACGTCTTATAATATTTGGGTTGCTTTATTTTTGAATTTAAAAATCGTCTGATTTCCTGATATTCAACCCACTCCTTTCCACAGAATGCTTCTAGAGCTTCTGGTGGTTCAACATTCAGGGCTAAATACATTAGTCCCAACGGTATTTCTTTAGTTTTGAACCGGAATCTGGTCTGGGTATGAGCTCCTTCGTATGCACCAATTATTACCCTTTCTTCCGGTACCTTACGCGGTGGTGGACGAGTCTTTACGACTGTGTCACCTGACATCTTACTTTTTGTTTTGAATTAACCTTTGCGGTTAATTAAAATACCAAAACAGCAGCGATTGTGCTACTGATTTCTGACGAGTATCGTTATTGCGATTGTGCAATAATTCCCAAAAACTCACAAGCAATCCTCCTTTTAGGTTTGAATTGTTCAGTGGGTTTAGACACAGCCGACCTTTGCGGTTCGACTGTAACAAATTCCTAAA